CAGTACCTGAACAAAACGAAAAAGGCGCGTATTCGTTATTTTCTGTAGCTGTTGGAACTTGACACGTAACGTAAAACACATTGTTGATTTATTTTTATATCTTGCTTCTACAGTAGCTTGTTATTTGCAAGGGATGGGTAGTGTCACAAAAGCTGGTACTGTAAAGTTATCACGCAACCGAGTGTCTGCCGTAATCACATCATATTATGCATGTGTTTTATCTATGAAAATGAACTGATACCATAGGATAACTTGTGATATTTCCTAAAATGTTTGATAACAACCGTGCTGCTAGAGTGCTCACCATAAAGGTTCATTACACCATCAAGGTTGTTGGTGCGTACGGTCCATTCCCCATTCCACTGTGGCTCTTGTGATACCATCATCTTCAATATACTCAATTTCATCCATATTACGAAGCTATAACGGTATACCATTTTACAGTTACCATTGAAATTATAAACACAAGCGTTATGTCGTGATATCTTAAAATTATTAAGAAGTGTCGGTATTTTAACAAATCACTTTACGGTATTTTATAACAACTGGAAGCCATCTTGCTTGCAAAATCTGAAATAGATACTCTGTCTTGTAATTTGAATAATATATCATATATAACTAATAATTGTTGTAATAAAATTGTCGCATACGACTTATTTACCACTTCCGTGTCACTGAGAATGTTCTAGAACCGTACTGTGTCTGGGTGGAATATTCTAGATTTTTTTTAGAAAATGGTTGAATAGGTAATAGAACACTGTAGGAGGCAATAGAAGAACATTTTAGAAATTGTAGTAAATTCCAGACTCATTATGTATGCTGATGTAATGGTCTATTTATAGACAGTGGGGGTATATATAGGGGAGTTGTTCAGCACTGAGTTCAGATCGGAGACCTCGTTGAATTGTATTGGAGTTTAAGTATATAGTTATTGGAGTAGTGGAGTTTTACCACGTTACTGTACTTGATGTTTGCAGAGTATAATAATACCAGTACCAGTTGAAACCTCATCTGTTGGCTCCGTGTTCGTATGTTATCATCGCCGCCAGGGAAGTCTTTCTGTTACTGTTGCCATTTTGGTATTTGAAGCTTCACGCCTGTACTATACCAATTACGGTAATATTACGTTGCGTGTGACAAAAATCTTTATGGAGACCACAAAAAATATATATGTTTTGAACTGCGTATAACTCTTATTACCTAATTCACCACCTAATT